AACAAAGGCGCTTGTCGACTCAGAAATCAAATGAAACTCACAACACACCTGGCAGAACATCATGTTATTTAGCTCGTCATATTCCAGCCACAGAAATTCTTTTGTCCATGAAACCAAAAATCCTGCGCTTTCTTTTTGCCTCATAGTCTGATTTGTCATAACTTTTCTGTTTTGCGGCAAGCTTTTCTTTGGCTGCCCCTTCTTCACCCTGACCTGTCTTATTTGGCTGAGCAGAACTAAAATACCAGCTTAAATCCTGCTGCTTTTACACTCACTCACATAACGCTCAGCGATTCTTTGCGCACTCAACCTCTCACATGTTTAAGCTTGCTGCGAGAGATTTCACTTGTCGCGTTTGAATAGTAAGCTAATGAGTGATAAGACGATGTCAGAGGAATTGGTGCGCAATTAATCGTCATTCACCAATCAGTGCTGCTGCTCTCTACACACCGTTTGCGCGATCGCAAAATGAAAGTGAAAGCACAAAGCAAGCGCAAATTCAAACGCGATTTCAATATGTCACATATTGACAGTGGCTCATGGGGTGCAAAAAAAGTGCAGGTATATTACTACTTCAGTTGTTTAAACAAATCTAGGAAAACGCTTGTTGCACAGTCAAGCTGGAGTAACAGAAAAAGAAGCAGAAGGTTTAGCAGGCAGAGGTTTTTAAATAGGAATCACTGAATTGAAACAAAGAGCTTAATTAGTGTGAAAGTTAACTGCAGCCCCATCAGAGCTGTGATAAAGATTGAGTTTCTCCAAACATTAGGAACTAATGTCTGAACAACAATTATTCATGATTGATTCTTTATTAGTCTTTCTGTATAAAAGATCTTAGTGTCCAACATAAAGGCTGAAGCTGGACTCTCACACCACTCCAATGCTGCTGTTACACTGTCAACACACCACAACCATATTTTGGTCACTTTGCCACAACTCATATCAGGACAGACTGTCAGACGTTCACTGCCAACATTACTAACCATTACAAAATGAAAAAACAAACACCCATAGAAAAAAATTGAAGAAAAAAGCAAGTTTGTGCAATATTTGTGTCAGAAACATTTTTAACATGTGAACACAACACTGTGAGAAAGCAACCAAGTTTATTTTGTATCAAAAATGACAAACACAAAGAAATGAGTCATAAAAGCCAATGTTCATTATTTAGCACATCGATTCAGCCAGTGGACAAACTCTTTAACCAAGCAATGTGATACAGAACTTATTTGTTAGCATAAGTATGAAAATGCGCAAGAAAAACCGACATACATGATAAATTGCACCAACGATACTTAGGGAGGAATAAAAACACACGAGTCATCGGCCATTTTGGATGAATAAACACACCCCCAAGAGAGCACCAACTTTATTAACAGCTGCACATATGGAAATCAAACATCAAACATAAACCCTCTGGCTGTTTCCATAATTGAGAGCATTTTCTTTCTTCGTGTCAACAATATGCAATGCTATATAAGAACGTTTTCACATTTCTACGAACATTCAAACAAAGACGTTACCAACATACTGAAGAATATTACTGTTGAAAATGTCTCTGTGAAAAACACAAGACTAGTTTCATATAGTCAATGCAGCGTCTGCTGTTTTTTTTAGATAAGGCACATGCATTATGATCCAACAATACAAAATGATTCTGCTTAGAACTGCATTCCAAATCATTGATCCAATATTTTCAGCTTCTATGGCTGAAACATTTTCACATGATGAGCTTCCAACAATGAGTGAAACAGTAAGAGCGTGTGGAGAGTTTGGAAACATCCTATTAAGAAAGAGAAATCAAACATTTGGATTAATTTTAATGAGCTCAGACTTGTTGAAAATGCAGAGGAGCTGGTTGTGAACTGAGCTTCAGAGAAACACAACATACTGATATTCACTGTGAAGCTTTGAGTGGAAAAAGACAGAAAAACAACATGTGGATCCTGGAATAATGGGAGCTTCCACCTTTAAAGGACTGAAGAGGAAGACATTTACAAGGAATCATTTAGAAGAGTTTCAAACATCAACTGATTGAATCCATGAATCTGAAAACGTGTTTGTGAGTGAAAGAGACAGACATGTACAGACTGAACTATCTGTTCAACAGTCAGAGTGTTTCTGTAACAGGAGACACTCTTTACACTCCACTCAGCACAGGGACACTGAGGCACCAGGAAACCTGAACCAAAACCCAGGATAAAGAGTTTGAGTGAATGTGGTGTTGAAGGTGTGGAGGTGGATCAGAGTGTCAGAGGAGACTCTGTAGAAGGACAGAGTGCCAGCAGGACAGTCCACATACACTGCTACTCTGTTAGAGACAGAGGAGGAGGAGGAAGAGGTGGAGATGAATGTTTGTCTATAATTGTGCCAGACATAACGAGGAGCACCATCAGAGCAGTACAGACACCAGGACTGTTCATTGTGTCCAAACACACAGTCATTACTGCCTCCTTTCCTTCTGATTCTTCTGTAACTCACTGATATATAAACATTTCCTCTCCACTCGACCTCCCAGTAACAGCGACCAGTCAGACCATTTCTACACAGCAGCTGAGGATAAACATCAAACCTGTCTGGATGATCAGGATATGACTGAACCTCCTCCACACGTGTCACCTTCCTGTTGTTGTCAGACAGTTGGAGGTTTGTGTTCACTGTGTTTGTGTCGATTGTGAGTTGACAGGAATCTGATGGAGAGAACAAACACAATCCAGCTGCAGTTATTGATCCATCATCTGTTCATTGATTGACACTTTAATGATGATTCCTGACATAAGAATGATGAAGATGGTTGAATGTGTGCTGCTTTGTTTTCATGAATCCCATTAAAAACACACTTACACTTCCTCAGACCTGGTCTTAACCATCGGACTCCAGCAGGCGCCACCCTGAAAGGAGGAGGGGGGTCAGAGCAGCACAGTCACAGTGGATAAAACTGCTGATGATTTGGACTGATCCTGGATCTGTCAGTAGAACACTGTATTGAATGAAATATGACTGACTCAAAGTGTGACCTTCATTATCTGTATATTCCTCTTCTGTTTAGCTGAAAAGGACACCTCCCTGCCCTTGCTGCAAGCTGTATTTTCTCATTTTGGTGTTTGTGTGGTTACTGTGGTTACTGTACATGACCTCGGTCATCTGAGATAGTACAGCGTTGCTTTCATGTGCCCCCCAAAACCCATTCATGTTCTGATTTAACAGCCGATTTCTCCACATGCACATAGAGAAATTTCTGCCTCTGTCACACAAACACTGGACCGTATATTTGTTTCTGAATATTTCATGTTGAAACTATTCAACTATTACTGTATGTCCTCAGCAAACACTCTGATCTTCATGTTAGTGCACTGAATCGTTCTGCTGTCAGCTGACATCACTGGGAGTCACCTCTCAGTCTCCTTCTGTCCTCTGAAAGTCGGAAATTTCATTTCTCATTAAGATTACCTCCAGTCTGAGTTATTGTCACATTACTGACAACTCAATCAAGAAAAACTGGGAAGTAGAAAATTATTCATTTTACAATATTTATTCTATTCCATTAAAATAGAACAATAAATATTAATCTGTGACTGCTATTTGTTAGCATACAATGTTAAAAATAATCAAATGAATAACAGCAGCTTCTCTGACTGTGGTAATAAAACCTTAAATATGTGAAGAAGGCAGGTAACACTCATCCTTGAATATTATATTTATATATAAGAAGATATAACAGTTTTCTCAAATATTACATTTCAGTGCAAATTCAAGGTATAAATAGCTATTTCTTTTCATTTATACCTGTGCGACTGTCTAACAGTCAAATATCA